TTGGCTTCCCGGCTGCCCGCTGCAGAGCAGGGAAGTCAAACCTCGCTTTGGGACGTGCTCGGCGGTGAAGCACGGATTGCAGCTCAGTCAGAGCTGACTTAAAATTTCCGCGTGGCCTTTACGTTACGAAAACGGCCGTGGGGCACCAGTGTTCAGAGTTTTGCAGGATTCTTGGAGAATTTCTGGGTTTGCATTTCGTAAAAGTCTTATTCATACATAACTCAGGGCAGCCTTTATAGGAAAGTGACATCTGCACAGTCAGGTTAAGAAATGCCTACAGGAGGGGCTCTTTTGCCCATGGTGGCTAAAGGGTTTGTATTCACAAACCTTTAATGAGGTACAATGTACCAGCGTTTCACTGATGATAACGTACATTGATAGCCCTGCACTGTATAGCAGTGTGCACAGGTGAAATCTAAAAGTTACTCCTTGTCTTGCCACAGTGGGTGTGTTTTATAGCTGCTTCTGTGCTAACCAGTTGCATTTCTATTTTTTATTTGTTTGTTGTTTTTTTCAGGTGCTTGCCCTGAAGCATCTTTTCTTAATACCCTCATTTGCAACTGGCATGCTGTAGGGCAGCTGCTTTCCTTTTGAAGTGAATGTTTTGCTTAATCAGAGAGCAAGATGGTTGAGTCTGAAACACTGTCTTGTTTTTAAAGAATCTCAGCTAGTAGTTTATTTAAAGCTGGTTTTGTTAGGTGTGATGTCTTCTAACTTGAAGGGCACTTGTTTGCTTTCCTTCATAATTGTTTTATAAGCCATTACTGTAAATGAAGTTATACCTACCAAGCAGCTATGGCTACTTAAAATGTACTGGGAGAGAAACACAGGGGAAGTAATTTCATACCATATTTTTTTCCCTACTCTTCCTTTAATATATAGATAATTATTAATGGATTAAAACCCACTGTGTAGTACTATTGTAGTATGCATTCCTGACTATACCTCTGTGTGCAGTTACCCAGGTGCAGCCAAACATGTTTCCTTTTTTTTTTTTCTATTTTGCAGTTCTGATACCAAATTTTCAATAACATTGAACAGAAAAGATGCTCTCACAGAAGATCAGAAGACCTTAGCTTCATATGGGATTGTTTCTGGTGATTTGATATGCTTATTACTAGAAGAAGCAGATGGACAACCCAACCTACCTCCTCCTTCTACTCCTCCCCCACTTGAGAATGGTCATGAGCCATCCACCTTGATCCCCAACAAAAGTCAGGCCAACAGGCTGAAAGAAGAAGGGCAGAATGAGGAATCTGACAACCAGAAAGCTCAGGTGGAAGGTCAAAAGAGTGACAAGACGGTAAGTACATGAAAATTGCCCTATACAACAGAAGGCAAAAATGAACATATCTTGCTGTGTCAGTTGCTGTACTATATAGTAGAGAATCTTTTCAGAATATTTGGCTCCTTCTACTTGTCTGATATATAGCCAGTTATTTGGATGGAAATTTGTCTCTATTCATTGTATATTAGCTGTGACACAGAAGCTAGTTTAGAGATCCTGACATGTTTCAGGTCTGACGTTTTTACTGGAACATGCTTTTTCTGTAAGGAAGTTAGGAGTATGGTTCTTACCTGCCTCAGTGCTGTCTTCTTGAGGAAAGTGATTCTAGGTACTGTACAAATGCAACAGGCACTGCCTGTTGGAAACATCACTCACAAGATGAGTGCACGATTCTTTTCTAACAGTTTGTAACAATTCCCTGTGATTCAGACAGCCTGCCATAGAGTGAGACCTGTCTGTCTTGTGCATGGAGGTTGTGTTGCTGAGATAGCTCATGCCTTATGCTTTCTAAGTGTACATCTGTATGACCCTGTATGCTCCATGCAGCTAATAGGCACACTTTTTCTTATTAGTCAGTGGTTTGTTTCCCATGTGACAGTACATACAATAGTTAATGAGATAACAGCTCCCACCAGCTGCTGGATTCTGTGGTAGATGGTCTACCTAAGGAGACTCTGCAGGTACAGCCTAGTGCCACAGTCTTATCTTGTTGCACGATCCTGTCTGGTTTAGGTAGGAGCTTCAGAAGCTGGGAGTAAATTGTCTTCCAACATTCTTTCAAAGCAAGTAGGTATTTTTTTTTGTTTATTTTGGAACGGGTTTCAAGTACAAAATGTCCCTTAATACAACCTTTGTATGAAGTTTTTAAAAACACTGTTTTAATGTATGATAATTAAGCTGTAGGATAAAAAGAATTGTAAGTAATGAAAGAAAATATAGTTGGACCGTTGTCCCATTGATTCTTGTCAGGAGCAATAATCTTTGCATGGTGCTGTGGGCATGCAAACTCCTTATGTCTGTCAGTCAGTAAGCTGTGCAGAAGTATCTGTTTCATATTTATTTAATATTTGAAGGCAAGATGAAAGACTCTCACATCTCCTGCAAAATTGTGGTGAAAGAGTCAGGAAAATTTCTAAGCAGCTAAGTGTCATTGTAGAAGAGCTTTAGAAGTCTGAAGATCTGTGTTTAACTGGGGCTATGTCCATTGCTGTTAATGAGAGCAGGGAAATTCCACAGGTGGATGGCCATGCCAGCCTCATACAAATGTGAGGGTGTCATTTGGCATGGATGCGGGGGAGAAGTAGCTACAGCTCCTTTAGACTCTTCCCCCCCCCGCCCTCGCCCTTGACCCTTCCCTGAGGTAAATTTGCCTATAGTTTTCATTCACATTATTTTTAATGTGTCTGTGGGTAGTTTTATCAGCTAACGTAATATGATGAGATTTTGGTAGAAGAAAGGAAGCCACTATAAAACCACAGTGCTTCTCGAGTGTCAGCAGATACACTTCATCGATCTTCCCCCCTCCCACCCCCTC